ACTGTCATCTGGAAGGGGCCCTGACCTGCCAAGGCTGGGGCGCTGCGCTGGCTGGGAAAGGGGATGGCCAGGAAGTTGGAGTATGGGGAGAGGGAGGACCTTCAGCAGCTTCTTATGTCTGCCGTGCTTTCTGCTGAAAAAGACAGAATCTCTGGGGCTGGTTTTCCACGTTGTTTGGCACCATCTTGCCATCATTTCCTCCTCTGTCCCTCAGTTGGGGCTGTTGCCGGATAGTCGCGAAGAAACGAGGCTGACATCTATCCTGGGGATGATCTTTGTTTCTCTCTCTGGTTTCTTCTGGGATGTGTTTGACCCTTCCCACTGTCCCTGAGCTTCCCTTTCTCCTCCTGACGTCTCACACAGGCCAGAGGCTGGTGTCCTTAGAGGGGACCTTTGAGGGAGAGAAAGGTCCCCAAGCAGAAGTGATCAGGCCTTCACTCTGTCTGTAGCCCTTCTCCGTTAGCTCGTGGGCACCCTCGATTCCCACCCGCAGCTCAGTCTCCCTTCTCCCACTTCCACATCTGGGGTGTTTACTCAGTGGCTCAGCTCCTTACTAACCCACCTAGTCTATGGGATCTTTGAAAGCATTCTTTTTTTTTCCTTCTTTCTTTCTTTCTTTCTTTTTTTTTTTTTTTTTTTTTTTTTTTTTTTTTTTTACAGAGAGGAAGAGAGATAGAAGGATTGAGCGTTAGAAACATGGATGAGAGAGAAACATCAATCAGCTGCCTCCTACACACCCCCACTGGGGATGTGCCTGCAACCAAGGTGCATGCCCTTGACCGGAATCAAACTCTCGACCTTTGAGTCCGCAGGGCGACGCTCTATCCACTGAGCCAAACCAGTTTCGGCAAAAGCATTATTTTTTTAATCATCACCCAAGGATATACTTTTGCTTTGAGAGAGAGGGAGGAAGGAAGGGAGAGAGAGAGAGAGAGAGAGAGAGAGAGAGAGAGAGAGAGAGATCAGCTGCCTTCTGTACATGCCCCAACTGGAGATCAAACCCACAATCTAGTCATGTGCCCTGACTGGGAATCGGTCCCTCAGCCTTTCAGGATACGGGACAGTACTCCAACCAACTGAGTCACACTGGCCAAGACCTTCAAAACATTCTTTTTTAAAAAATATATTTTATTGAATTTTTAGAGAGAGGGATAGAGAGTAAAAACATCGATGAGAGAGAATCATCGACCAGCTGCCTCTTGCACACCCCCTACTGGGGATGTGCCCACAACCAAGGTACATGCCCTTAACCGGAATCGAACCTGGGACTTTTCAGTCCGCAGGCCGACGCTCCATCCACTGAGCCAAACCGGTTTCGGCAAGCCTTCAAAACATTCTTGATCATATTTTTTTCCTAACACCTCCCATTCCAATCCAATAACCCCCAATCCCAGAGGGCAGTGCCTCTCAGTCTGATGGGCTGCAGTCCCACACCAGCCTCCAGGCACTAGGATCGAAATCCAGCTGGGGTCCTGGAAGCATTAGCAGCCGAGTGTATGAGTGGGCCACACTCGTTACGAAGTGGAGAAAATTCCCAACAAGAGGATCGGTCGCAGAGATTAGCTGGCTGGGCTCAAGTTCAGTGACTAAGCACAGTCGGGCAGAAGCATCACCGAAGAGATGAGTCACCTGTTGCTGTCCTTGGCCGGACCCTGTGCCCAGTGCTCTCCGGCTGCCGTGAGGAGCACGTTGGGGCAGAACATTGGCTTTGGGGCAGACGCGCACTAACTAGCCTGTGAGCATTTGAGGACCACTTTGCTCGGCATTTAAATTTATTTCATTTTGTACAATTGTTCCGGATTGTTCTAGCCCAACGTCGCCTGCTGAGCTCACTCATGAGTACTCAACATATACCCAGGGTATTTCTCACAGAGGCCAGAGGCCTTCCCTGACGCATCCCGGCTCATGCGACAAGAGCTAAATCTGGAACTTAGAGTCCCTAACTCCCTTCCCTGAACTTCCTTGGCTTCTCCAAGAAGCCAGAGAAGCCCACTCAGGTGCTAGAGAATCGTGCCGCCTGGCTAATCGCCCATGTGTTCATATCAACATTTGAAATTTAACTTATTTTCTAAAGAAATTAAAGTCAACAGATCAAAAGAAGGGTGACAAATAAATCAACAAAAGCTTTTAAGCAGGCTCTAATGTGTTTGTTTTTTTTAAAGTCAGGATATTGAAGTATAATTTAAGTTGGATAAGTTATGTCATTTTGGGGGACGTGTTTTAGTTTGGACATTTTTTAAATTTTTTAATGGTGGTAAAATACACATGAAATGTATCATCATAACCATTTTTATGTACAGTTCAATAGTGTTAAGTACATTCACATTGTTGTGCAGCCAATCTCTAGAACTCTTTTCATCCTCAAAACTGAAAAACGTGCCCGGCCAGTGTGGCTCAATGGTTGGTTGTTGGCCCATTAACCAAGAGGTCACAGTTGGATTCTTGGTCAAGGCACATGCTCAGGTTGCGGGCTCCATCCCCAATAGAGGGCGTGCAGGAGGCAGCTGATCAATGGTACTCTCTCATCATTGATATTTGTCGCTCTCCCTTTCTCTCTCTGAAATCAACAAAAGCGTGTTTTTTAAAAAACTGAAACTCTGCCGAAACCGGTTTGGCTCAGTGCTAAAGCGTTGATCTGCGGACTGAAAGGTCCCAGGTTCAATTCCGGTCAAGGGCATGTACATTGATTGCGGGCACATCCCCAGTAGGGGGCGTGCAGGAGGCAGCTGGTCGATGTTTCTCTCTCATCGACGTTTCTAGCTCTCTATCACTCTCCCTTCCTCTCTGTGAAAAATCAATAAAATATATTTTTTTAAAAAGAAAGTTTAAAAATATAGAAACATAGAATACATTCCAAAAATAAAAGCATGGCAATTATCATTAAAAATTAAAATAAATAGATAGATAGATAAATAGATAAAAACTGAAATTCTGTACCCATTCAGTTACAACTCCCTAGTCTCCCCTGCCCCCAACCCCTGGCAACCACCACTCGACTCTCTGTGTCTGTGAACTTGACCATACCAGATACCTCATATAAGTGGAATCACACCATGTGTGTCTTTTTGTGACTGGCTTATTTCACTTAGCATATTGTCTTCAACATTCATTTGTGTGCCAGAGCTTCCTTTCTAAGGCTGAGGAGCAGTTTGTTGTACGTAGAGCTGTCGTTTTGTTTATCCACTCTCTAGCCATGGACACTTGGGTTTGCTTCCCCCTTTTGGCTATTGTGAATAATGGCTGCTCTGAAAGTGGGTTTGCTATCGTTTCAAATCCCTGACTTCTCTCGTTTGTGTCCTTTACAAGTGAGTGAAGGGATGATCCTAGAAGAAGTGCATCGTCCATGGTCTTGCTTTTTTTTTTTTTTTTTACCACCAGGAATGCAGCACTAATTTCACCAGGTAATGGCTTTGTAGCTTCTCAGTGTGCTGGCTTTTCAAGGGCTTCTCATGCTGTTCCCCAGCAATACGGGAGCGCTTTGAGAATTGCCATGGAATAGAAAGTAGCATGCGTCCGGCTCAGTGACTGGATGCCGTGATCGAGGGTGAGCTGTCAGTGCCTTGTCGGATTGCTGAAAACCACGGTTCCACTCTCCCCTCCCGTGGGCCCTGACACCCCAGAGCGCCCGCCCTTTTTGGGGCCAGGAAAGCAGATGGTCCTCGGGGGAGGTGAGTGAAACCCAGCCGCAATCTGCCCCACCGGGGAGAAAGACCCAAAAATAACCTCCGTGATCCTGTTTCAGGTTTGGGAAAGAGGCAGGGGGTTGCTGACATGATTTCACGAACAAAAAAGATCAAAGAAATGATCTGTGAATAAATCGCAGAGACGGGAGAGCCAACCAGCCATGTGGACAAATAAGATTCCTCTCCTGTCAAAACAGTCTCTCTGTCTGCCCTGCATTGTCTGCAGGCTAAGCCAGAGTCTAGATCACTTGGCATTCAGATAGCTAAGTCGGCTGGCAGATGATTGGGGGGCTGAAGTAGTAGTGTACCGCCTTCCTGCAAGGAGGAAAGGAAACCTGGTTCAGGGACCAAAGCAACGCTCATTCATCTTATCTCATCTTCTAAAACCCGAGACAGAGTCCTCCCCAGCTCCCCTCCCACCCCACCTCAACCTCCCCCCCCCCCCCCCCGCCAGACAGAGGGTCCTCTGGTATTAAATGCACAGAAATCAAATGCACAGAAATCAAATGCACATAGCAGGGGAGTGAGGCTCAGGTGACAGATTCTGAAGTGCAGGCATACACACCTTTGTGCTCTTGTCTTCTTAAAATTCATCCTCTCACCTGCCAGCCTGGAGAACTGCCTATTTACATAACTAGCTGCCTAAAATGGAATATTAGATAATGTCCCGTGGCGGCTCGCTCCGCTGGAGCCCGTCCCCGGGATGTGAGCGTGATCCGGGAGTCCCCGGCAGCCTGCAGCGTGGCCTGCTGGCCTGCAGCCCTGCCTCCGCGTGGTGCGAGCCTGTCAGCTAAGCAGATGTCAGACCCGATTGCCGATGGCCAGCAGGAGGCCAGCCGAGCAGGGGGGCGCATGGCGGGGGGGCGGGGGGGGGGCGAGTTGGGATTCAGCAAGTGGCACCGTGTGGCACACAGTCTCCAGGACACAAACAGCGTCTCTTCCTGAGCCGCACTGCAGGCCCCTTGTTCTCCCCAAGATGCCGTCTCGGAAACAGCCAACGATGTAGGGCCTGGGAAGGAGGAGCTGCAGGATCTAGGGGGGGCAGCGGGTCCGAGAGGTCATCAGTCAGCTCTGATGCCATCCCTGGCACCATGACAGCTTCTGCACCCCTGTTGGTCCATTTCGAGCGAGGCACGAACCTCCTTCCCATCCAAACGGGAATCATGCTGCTCGCTTACTATAGGAGGAGTGACACGGGAGTGTTCTATCATGATAAGCGAGTGTAGCTTCTCAGCAGACCCCGATGTACCCAAGACGGCAAACTGTACGTGTGTGTGTGTGTGCGTGTGTGTATGTGCGTGTTCATTTATTTTCCAGCGTTCCGGTTCCTGTAGTCAGTTTAGAGAAAATTCCTAACCTAGTGAAGGCAGATGGTGCCAATGTCAAAATGAACTCTACCACCACCGCTGCCGTCCCCGCCTGCTCCACCTCGACCTCGGCCTCGGCCGCCTCCGCCCCGCCCTTAACGAAGCCAGTCTTGATGTCAAAGTCAGTGCCACCTTCCCCGGAGAAGATCTTAAACGGCAAAGCGATTCTGTCCACCACGATAGACAAGAAACACCAAAACGGCACCAAAAACAACAACAAGCCTTACCGGAGACTTTCAGGTACGTGTCCGTGTCCCTCGAGTCCGACGCCCGGTTAGACTGAAACTGAGTCACGGCTGGCTATAACCAAGGAGTGATGTGTTCTTGTAATTAAGCAGGTCTGTTTCGTTTTAGGGGGGTGGTGGGGGATCGGGGAATGGCAGAGGGACATAGAATTGACCTGCAGGCGGGACCCCCACCTAAAAATGCAATAAAGAGCTGGTTCTCTTATTCCCGGGCCGGATGAGGCTCTCGCTCAGCTCCCAGCGTTTAGCGAGTTACCCTAGTGACCCAAGAGGCAGGATGCTTTACACCTGCCACAGCAGCCCGTGCCTTCTGAGGTCTTATCGCACTGACCTGCTGAGCCGCCCCTGGGTGTTGTAGAGGCCTCGCTGCCATGAGGTCTGACCACACCCGCGCCATCTCGCAGCGGCTCAGGGCAGGCTTGGGACCGCCCCGCCAGTGGCTGCTCCACAGGAGGACGCCGCCTCTGTCCTGTGGCCCCGCTGGTTTCCGGGTTGATCCTGTGGTCGGGGTGCCACTGCCTTCCCCGAGTAACCCGTTGGGGTTTCTGTTTGGGGACGCTCGGGTTCACCCCGCAGGTGCGCTGGCGGGGACATCTCTTGGGTGTGCTCCTTGGTGGCCTGAGCGGCACATGGGTGCCTGGAAAGGTGCCCGCGGCCAGTCTTTGGGGCAGTGGTTTTCTCTCAGAGGCCCCCATGTGATGTGTTGTGAAACTAAATCTAGCCATTCCGCTTTTTTCCAAAAAACAAATTAAGCTTCATAACCATGGGAATTTATCTAATCTTGACAGGAAAATACATATATATATAAATATATATATATATATATATATATATATATATATATGAGGCCCAATGCACAAAATTTGTGCAAGAGTAGGCCTTCCTTCCCCAGCTGCCAGCTCTGGCTTCCCTCTAGCACCCTGGGCCCTGGGCTTCTCTCACAGCCAGCTTCATCCTGAAGGATGTCTGGTCTAATTAGAATATTATGCTTTTAATATATATATATATTTATACACACACACACACACACACACACACACACACTGAGTCATGGCCAGATTATTATCATCTCTGAATGCATAATTATCTGGCCATTCAGTGTATATCTTATATAATAAAAGGTTAATATGCAAATTGTCCCCTCGACCAGGAGTTGGACCAGCAGGCAGGCTGGCCAACCACCCATGTCCCTTCCCCCTGGCCAGGCTGGCTGGACCTCACCCATGCACAAATCCATGCACCAGGCCTCTAAAATATATATATATTGAAAACCACCCTGTGAAAAATAAACTATATCTTTAAGTATGACCATCTTTTTTTTAAATATTTTTATTGATTTCAGAGAGGAAGGGAGAGGGAGGGAGAGATAGAAATATCAATGAGGTGAATCATTGATCGGCTTACCTTCTGCACGCCCCACACTAGGGATCACACCACACTGGGGATCGAGTCCGCAACCTGAGCTTGTGCCCTGACCAGGTATTGAACTGTGACCTCCTGGTTCGCAGGTGGACACTGAACCACTGATCCATGCTGGCCAGGCTGAGCCTGTTTCTTAAGCACCCCAAAAATGTGGGGTCATTTTTATTTTTCCTCTGTGTTTATCTGTATTTTAGTTTTTCTATCTTACATCTGTAACTTTTTAAAAAATATATATATATTCTTAAAAGTACTCAGCCCAGAACATTCAAATGACAAAAGCATTATACCCCAAAAACCTCATCTTGTGCTGTTCACCCACCATCAGGAAAGAGCTGGAGCCTGTGTCCCCCGCGGGTGGGAGGCCTCCCTGTGTGCAGAGCCCCCGACGCCCGGCTCTCCTCCGGGATGGGACGTGGGTGGCAGCGTCCCTGGGGGAACACAGGCCCGGAGGCCACAGCGGCCCCAGCGACGGCTTCCTGTGGCAGAAGCATGACCCAGGCTTCCAGCCTTGACCCCATTCGGCCGTGGTTTGGGTTTTTTGGGGGTTTTTTTTGCTGTTTGTTGGTTTTGCATTTTGTTGGTTGTTTTGTCTCAGTTCCAGGCCGCCAGGCGGGCTGGTGTGGGCCCGGACACCGTTGACCTGGGCACCAGTCTGACTCTGACAGCCCAGGGGACAGAACTCCCAGCCAGGCTCTCCTGGTCGGGCAGAGAGGACGCATAGGAAATGGGCATCTCCAGGGCTAGCCATTTCTAGTCTTAAAAGTGAAACTTAAGAAGAAGAAGAAGAAGAAGAAGAAGAAGGAGGAGGAGGAGGAGGAGGAGGAGGAGGAGGAGGAGGAGGAGGAGGAGGGAAGGAGAAGAAGAAGAGGAGGAGGAGGAGGAGGAGGAGGAGGAGGAGGAGGAGGAGGAGGAGGAGGAGGAGGAGAAGAAGAAGAAGAAGAAGAAGAAGAAGAAGAAGAAGAAGAAGAAGAAGAAGAAGAAGAAGAAGAAGAGGAGGAGGAAAAGGAAGGAAGGAAGGAAGGAAGGAAGGAAGGAAGGAAGGAAGGAAGGAAGGAAGGAAGGAAGGAAGGAAGAAAAGCCGGGAGGGCATTTTGATAGCCAACCAGGTCATCTGTCTTAGGCATAGGAATGGTTTTGTTGCACACATTATCATTATTACCACCATCACAGCCACCCCATGGCCCCCCAAACCTTGTGTTTTGTTTTTTTAAAGAACAGTCTCTTGATTTTGAAAGAGAGAGGAAGGAAGACGGAGAGAGAGAGAGAAAAAAAACATCGTATGAGAGCAGACCATCAGTTGGCTGCCTCCTGCACACTCCTTACTGGAGATCGAGCCCTTGCCTGGGAATCGAACTGGCAACCTTTGGGTGCACAAGATGATGCCCAACCAACTGAGCCACACTGGCCAGGGGACCCCCAAACTTTTTCTTTTTTTTTAAATAGAACACATTCATTGAGTATCCTCAGAGTTTACGCCACCAATTCCAGACAGTGTTTCAGGCTAGGTAACTTCTTTTTAGTGTGCAGCTATTCAGTCTTCCTCACGACACTTCCCTCACACACCCCAGCATGCTCCTGGACGCCCAGAAGAGCTGTGACCTCCCTGCTCTCTGGGCTGTGTCCTCCCTGCTCTGCAGGAGGCAGGAGTGTACTGGGCGCCTGCCAGAAGCAGGAGGCACCTGGGGGGCAGAACTTTAAAGCCCACAGGTAGGGTCCTCAAGCGGTTGCCCCATGTTCCTAGGAAGGAGAGAGTTTTTGTGATCCAGAGGGGACAAAGGATCCAAAAGGGGCCTGAAAAGAGAACGTTGCTTAGAAGCAAACTCCCAACATGACCCCTGCACTGTCCAGTGAGAAGGCAAACCGCAGACCGTGGGCAAAGCCTGGCCTCCCTGCAGCCACCCCATTCGTAGCCACAGGCCCGTGCTGGGACAGAGCTGAGGCTGAGGCTGCGCAACGGGCAGACTCTGCCCTCGATGCACCTTTTGGCTTAGATCGATGAAAGGCACGCACCCAGACTTCTCCCCTGCCCCTGCCCCTGCCCTTGCCCCTGCCCCTGCCCCTGCCTAGGGCAGCGCCAGAGTGTTCCTGAATCGGGTGAACTGTCTTCCCGGTCACCGGGACTGTCTGGAAAGCCTTGTGCTGAGCACTCTGCAAAGCGGGAGGGAGAGGGACAGGGTCCCTCCTGGCATGCCAGAGAACAGTCCCCGCCTCAATGGCTGAAGCTAGCAGGAAGGCAGGTGGGGCTGGGGAGGTGCGGGGTGCTCTTGGAACGGCCCAGGAAAAAGTGGCCGGTGGGCCTCACTCAGGTGGCTCTCCTTGGTCTGCTGTTAGCCAGGCCCCAAGGGCCAAGTACCTGGAGAAGCTTTCCCAGTGACATTCAGCTCCTCCTCCCCAGTGCCCGCCCCACCCCCTGCCCCGTGCCTTGTGCTGCGTGCCACACCCCTCCGAAGTCGGACTAGGGAGCTCCGGGTTCAGAGGGGCGCACCAGGTTCCCCTGAGCGGTTTCCGGAAGCATTTTAGCAGTCGGTGGAAGAATAAAAAATAAATAAATAAATAAATAAAAACAGATTGCCTGACAACGTCTCACTCGCTGGTGCAAATGTGCATTTTTTTTTTAAATGTAGTCTTAATGCCAACTCCTACTTAGTCTCCTTTTTCCTTATATTTTTTGTTTGTTTCCTAACCCAGAGAGAGAATTTGACCCAAATAAACACTGTGGAGTATTGGATCCCGAGACAAAGAAACCTTGCACAAGATCCCTCACCTGCAAGGTATTTCTCCTTTCCATAAAGAATACTTCCTGCTCTCGCTGGTGGGGCCTTTGTCAGGAATGTTTGCATGCCACTCTCTGCGCACGGCAGGGTGTGGAACCTAGACATGACCCCCAGCTGTTCTTTGTAAGGGAAATGCTTTCTTCTCTTCCATGGCAGCGGAGGGCCTGCCTGGAGCCGGCTGGCTTTTTAAGAAGGGAAGAAAAAAAAAGGCTTCCCCTGTTCCTCGTGAGGCCAGACAGTAAATTGTATTATATAGGCACTCACAGGCGGCTCGGAGCCCCGCTCCGATTTAATGTATGCAGGAGCGCCGCGGCGGCGGTGGCGGCGGCGGCGGCGGCGGCAGCAGCGCCCGGAGAGCCAGTCCAGCCGCGCCCCCGAGCCGGCCACACCGCCGGGCGGCCAGGGGCACCGCGGGCGGAAGGCGGCTGCCGCTAGGTAGCCCCCGCCGCCGGCCGCATGTCTCGTTCCTGAACTGCTAGTGCTTCATGGGACCGAGGCGGTGGCCCTCTCTGCTCGGGGGCTCCGTGTGCCCGGGCCACCGCACGCCTCCGGCTGCACCGGGATTAGCTCTGGGCTCTCCTGGGCTCTGCGCTGAAGCTTGTCATCTTGTGCCATTTTTTTTTTCTTTTCTTTTTTTTTTTTTTTTCGGAGGAAGCCCTGGCTTTTTGACACCAGGAGAGCAGAGCATGGTTGCGTCGGTGCGGTCTCTGCCTCCTCTTCCCAGCCTCCGCACGGGAGCTGCTGTGGCCTTGAAGTTGACTTGGCAAGCACCTGCCAGGTCCCCATGAATGGAAGGGTCTGAGACGGAGGGCCCCGGGAAGCAGGTGTATGTGCTGATCCAAGAGGCCGTGCTTTTTCTCATCTCTCTTCTCCTCAGACACACTCGCTGAGCCATCGGAGGGCAGTCCCCGGCAGGAAAAAGCAGTTTGACCTCCTCCTGGCGGAACACAAAGCCAGGTCCCGCGAGAAGGAAGTTAAGGATAAAGAGCATCTTCTGACTTCAGCGAGGGAAGTACTTCCAAACCCAGCCGGGCCGGCGCAGGACCCTCTGCTGGGATCTTCAGGGAGCGCTGGGCCAGAACCTAAAGTCACCTCCCCTGCAAAATCCAGGCCGCCCAACTCTGTGCTTCCCAGGTGAGTCCCCTCCCCCGCGCCCTCTCCGCCGCGTGGTGACAGAGGCCCAGAGGCCTTGGTCCGGGGGCTGCCTCGCTGGGTCGTGTGTGCTCTGATCACGTGTTACGCGGAAGCCGTCATACCTCGGCCTCGTAAGGCGGCTGTACACGTTAATGAGATAATGGGCGAAAGGGGCTTGGCCATCGTGCTCAGGGGATTTTTCTGCTGTCATCCTAGTCACTATTTTCTTCATCATCATCATCATCATCATCATCACCCTTCATGGCAGATCGATATCAGAGCAAGAGTAAGCTGAAAATAAATACCTGGACGGCTCATCAGCCACCAGGCACCTCTCCCGGCTGCCTGGGTGTTGGGCTTCGTTGGCGATTCCTGGAGCAGAGAGTGCGGAAAACCTGGGTGGATGTGGGTGTAGGAGCCCGTTTGACACACATTGTTTTGTGAATTTTTACCTCCAACCCTCCGGTGACCCAGGCGAAGGGGGGAAATGGCATAACAGAGGCTTTTTGCTTTATATTTCCCTGCACGCCCAGAAAGCGGAGCCACCTGTCTACAGTTTTATTTCACTGTCCTGGAAAGAACTGGAAAGGTCATTAAGGCCCATTGGGTTAAGCGTGCTTTAAAACCCACACGCGGCTTTGCCTGCCACGCTGAGAGAGTAGCAGGCCACCTTCCAGGTGATGGGACGGGGAACCCTCATTCAGAAATGCTAAGCACAGGGTGCAGAGAGGATGAATGAAACTAGGTTCTGCGCCGAAACCAGTTTGGCTCAATGGATAGAGCGTCGGCCTGCGGACTCAAGGGTCCCGGGTTCGATTCTGGTCAAGGGCATGTACCTTGGTTGGGGGCACATCCCCAGTGGGGGGGGGGTGCAGGAGGCAGCTGATCGATGTTCCTCTCTCATCGATATTTCTAACTTACTATCCCTCTCCCTTCCTCTCTGTAAAGTCAATAAAATACATATTTAAAAAAAGAAAGAAAGAAAGAAAGAAAGAAAAAGAAAAGTTCTGCGTTTCAAGGATTTTGTTTAGAAGGTGAGATAAGACTCGAATGTTTACAGAGTCATTAAAAGGAAGCATTCATGATACAAGGTGAGGAGGGCAGGCCCTGGGACTGCTGGATGATTTTGAGTGCGTACCGTGTGCGTCCCACAGCGTCCAGCCAGCGAGTGGGCTTTGAGAGCGGGTTACAAAAGAAGGGGACGGCCGAAACCGGTTTGGCTCAGTGGATAGAGCATTGGTCTGCGGACTGAAAGGTCTCAGGTTCAATTCTGATCAAGGGCATGTACCTTGGCTACGGGCACATCCCCAGTGGGGAGTGTGCAGGAGGCAGCTGGTGTCTCTCTCTCATCGATGTTTCTAGCTCTCTATCCCTCTCCCTTCCTCTCTGTAAAAAAATCAATAAAATATACTTAAAAAATAAAAATTAAAAATTAAGATAATAGAAGGGGACGGAGTTGGTTCTTAAAGCAGCAGCAGGCATTTGGTGGCGGTGGCTGCTGACCTGCCAGCTCCTCGCCCTCGTGCCTTCCACGTTGGGACCAGCCTGACCCAGTTTGACGGTCGGAGTCCCTCTGTGGGATTGGCCGGCCTCAGCCTCCGGCGGCGTTCAGGGGGAATCACAGCCCACACGCGTTTCCATCGCAGCCCTTGTCGTGTGTTGTCATCCGTGCACGTGCCACCTTCCTTGCCGCCTCACCTTTTACACGGTCATTTTGTGATGACTTGGGAGTGCCGTGCGGGGTGTTGGTGAAGGGTGTTCCCCTTGCCTTAGAGCAGAGGCGACAGTCCTGTTCCAAACACCCGGGGAAGGAGGGCTTTGGTTCTGCATACGGTGGCTTTCACACTAATTCGGACTGGAGAACTTTTTCATCCCCACACACTTTCCAAGGTGCCCAAAAGGAAAGCAGACCTGCCTCCCCCCAAAGCCAGCACAGCCCGGCTCTCATCGCTCACGTCCCCACAGCCTGCTGCCCCCCTGACCTTCTGAGGGATCCCCTCGTGTTCCCCAGGGAACCCAGGGAACCCAGTTTGAACACCCTCTCTCGTATACGATTTTGACTGACGGTGGCACTTCTCTTCCAAGCAGTGGTACCTGATGAACTGAGAAGCCAGGGAGCAGCCATTAAAAAATAAAGCAAGCCATGGCGCCATAGTCGTTCCGTTTCCTATCCCTTCCGGGCCGGTTTCCAGAGGAATGTTTGTCGTTAGAGAGATGCAGGTTTACGTGTTCTCTTCCGGAAACAGAAGGAAGAGGGTGAGGTTGATCAGCAAAAGGGATGTCTCTGAAAGGAACGGGGAGGCACGGGAGAGCATCACACATGTTACAGCTCACAGTATTTTTTGAGGATGCTTTTCAAAGTTGCTATAGAAACCAAAAGACTCAGGGTGCACTCTGGACCAATATCATGGGGAAGGTCAACTTCTTCCACTCGTTTTACACTAGGATGAGACACACACACAGCCCCCATGCAGTCAGAGTTGTGAACAGCATGATCAGAATTTAATGTTGTCATCACATAAAACTTAAAACATTTATTTTACTCATCTTTCAATTACACTAATTATCTGCAATGGGCAAATAAAATATATATATATAATCACTCACACATGGAATTATTGTAATCCCTTCCGATTCATGAATTCCTTTTCTTGGAAATATTAAGGTGTGTGAATTTATTTCTTAACATATCGTTTTGACAACCTTGAAAATATATCAGCTTTCATATTCTTGAGTTGCAACCCATTCTTGTCAGGGGTTTCTAAAAAGGAACCTGGGCCTAGAACAGAAGTTAAAAGTTAGAGAACACGGGTCGGGACAGGATTGGAAGCGCGTATCTCAACTTCGTGTTTACTCACTCGGTGAGCGTGGCCACGTTTCTTAGTCTCTCTAGCCTCGGCTTGCTCATCTGTACAGTGGATGAAGGACCATGCTCTGTAATAAGTGCTGCCCTGATGGCCGCTGTGAGTAAGGGGTGGTGTCAGTCAGTGGGAAAGCAGTGTGAGTAAACACAGTGTTACCTGATTTCCATTTGCCCGTCCTCTTGCCTTCTGCCCCCCCCCCCCAGCACCCTTACATAGCACACTCACATGCTCTGTTTCTTTGTCCCCAACTCTAAGGAAACAGATTACTTGCCCCAGAGAGCCAAGAGCTATGGATGAGCAGCCCAGTCCTGCCATCAGATCTCTGTGGCAAAAGGGGAGGAGGGCAAAGGGTCAAGCTGGGCTCTGACCCCTGAGAGGGAGGGAGAAAGGTCAGCTATGGAAACCAGCGCTGACAACATCTGGGCAAATTCCCCTCTGTCTTGAGAAGCTCACACCTTTCATCTTAAAGTATAAAATGACAAAATCCATTGATTTTTAGACTGACAAGGGGCAGTGGGCAAAGAAGCAGAAGGTCCCAGACACCTAAAGAAGGACAGAGATAAGTCTAGAGTGAGAGCAACATCAGTCATGACTAATCAGGATAGTGTTATTGCCAATTACAAGCCATCTCTCTCCTTGACTTATATTTGTCCCTGCGCTTTTTCTGCACTCATCTCTCAATATGGGGAGGCTTTGAAGTCTCATTTCCACCTCTTATTAGCTCTGCAAGCAATTTGCTCATCTGAGAAACGTAGATAATAGTTAAATGTGCAAAGGCAGTGGGTAACCTGGGTGAGACATGCCTCGCCCATAACAGGGACCTGATTAAAGTCAGTTCCTTGTGCTCTCTTCCCCGAAGCACTCAGACAGGCTGGCGCTCATGCTTCCTCACAGGGACGGGTCGGAGACGAGGAAGTGTCCATTCAGTGTCCCTGAGTGAAGCTGAACAGGGATCCTCATCACAGACATTGTCTTTAAACCAAATCGATAAGTGGAGAGGGGAAGATGAGGTAGTGTGGAAGGAGAAAAGGTGGATGGCAACTTTGCAAACTTGAGTGACTTTTTTTTTTAATGTATTTTTATTGTGGGTTTTTTGTTTTGTTTTTTGTTTTTTGTGGGGGGTTTTGTGTGTGTGTGTGTGTGTGTGTGTGTGTGTGTGTGTGTGTGTGTTTCGGAGAGAGAGGAAGGGAGAGGGATAGAGATGGAAATATCCATCCGCTGCCTCCTGCACGCCGCTTCCTGGGGACCGAGCCCAAAACCTAGGCATGAGCCCTGACCGGGAATTGAACCGGCAACCTCTTGGTGCATGGGATGATGCTCAATCCACTGAGCCACACCAGCTGGGCTAGAAAGAGTTTTTCAACACCTTCTCAGGACTAGTGGCCCCATTCCTCATCACTTCTCACCCAACCGTGGCTTTTTCTGAGACACAGGCTGGTTCCAGTGAACTCCTTCCCTCCAGCTTCCGCTCTGGAGTGCAGCCATCAGAAAGCACCTACCGTTCCATCATCGCCAGGCGGGGATGTGCATCCCTGAATGAAGCAAGCCTGAAAGGGAAGAGATGCAGCTCTCTCCTCCTCCTGTATCTATGTATCTATGTGTGCCTGTGTGCACATGTGTTTCTGTCTTTGTCCTCAGAGCTGGTTTTGCTCTAACACAGCGTTTCCATGCTTACCTTACTCTTCAGTATTCTCCCCTTATCTCCTGTCTTTTACCTGACAACTGGAACTTACTATTGAGTTTCAGCCTTTTTTTTTTTTTTTTTTTTTTTTTTTTTAGTAAGGGAAAGTTTATTGATCAACAAGGTGCCAACCAAAAAGATGGGAGTCGTAGTGGTACCTCAGACTCACCTTAAGAAAGCACAGAGTTCAGGCTTTTATTGTCAAGGGAAGGGAAATGGGAGTGGCAGGAGGTGATTGAGCACCACAGACATCTGGGCGCTGCCAGGAGGGTCTGAGGAAGGTTGTGCTGTGTGGCTGTGAGTCCAGCCTCAGTCTCGGTGTTCCTGCAAATCATTGACAAACAACACACGCCTACCTTAGCTCCTCGAGCCGCAAACAGTTCCCTCGGCGATTAGCAGGTCTATATGCCAGACTTAGCACAAGCTATTACCCAGCAGGCCATGCGGACAGGTGG